TTATTTTTTTAAAATTTTGTATGTCTTTATTTTATTTTGAGAGACAGAGATAGAGAGCGAGTGGGTGAGGGGCAGAGAGAGAGGGAGACACAAGATCTGAAGCAGGCTCCAGGCTCTGAGCTGTCAGCACAGAGTCAGAAGCAGGGCTCGAACCCATGGACTCTGAGATCACGACCTGAACCGACTAAGCCACCCAAGGCTCCCCTAAGCTGCTCTATTTTTTTATGTCTTCTTTAAATGTTGCTTTTCTATGACATCATCATTAACTGACATCTCTCCCTTAATTTCTGAGCAACAATGACACAAAAATCCTCAAATCAATTTACCACTCCAATCTGAATGGACACCTCAAACAGCAACACCAACTCATAAAGCCGCATGACTCTGGTAGAAAAGGTAGCATGCTTTTGACACCAACACATCCTGAGGCAGAACAAGCTTTACTACTACTACTACTACTACTACTACTACTACCACTATTATGATTACTATTTTCCTTGGTGATGTCAAGGACCAAGTATTAGCTATACCTAATACTCTGGATGATAGAGAGTGTCAGGGATTGCAAACAAAAAAGAAGCCCAGAAAGGACAAGAGGAGGTACAATTAATGATGAGCATTGGCCTCTCTTTATTTTTACATGAAACAAGGTTTGCTTCTATAGCATCTTATGTAAATTGCTGGCTAAGTATTAGATCTATGCTGCCCGGCTGCACCCCATGCAAATAGGGTTTATGACCAAATAGCTAACATTGTTACACATCACATGGACATTGCTGTGCCAGGATTAAAAGTGGTATAAAATCAAGGAGGAATTTCATACATAAATGGCTTCATATATATGTATGCTGTTGACCAGCATTTTCACGTTTCCTGACCTCTTAGCCAGAATATTCCACAATGGGCAACATATCTTTTGTTCAAATATGAGCTTTGGTAACAACATTCATATATTTTGATGTTAGGTATAGAACACTTCTATATTGTCAACTTTTAAAATCAAGTACTTTTCACCGATAATCTAACAAGCTCATGTATTTGCCCAAATCCCTACAGAGCATTAAGTTTGGAGAACATTTTGAATACAAAAAGAATACAGGAAGAAAATGTGTGGAGTAGAGTGGCAGTGTCACCCATGACCTGTCAGAATCCTGTACTGATGTCCATTCTTGGAGAACTCCACATTCCATATTATCTTCACTACTCTCCTAAGGAATTGCTAAGCATGAATTACCTGCTCACACTTATACCATAAAGAGAAATAGACTTCTTTAGGAAAGCTGGGATCCATTAAGATTATAGCCACCTCCTCAACTGCTTATTGGCTCCCACAAAAGTATCTCAGGCAAAGAGAGACAGAGAGAGTCAAAAAGAGAGAGTAAGAGACAGAGAAAGGGAATTTACATGACCACTACATGCTCATCTACCATTTTTCCCAGGTTCTGCTGACTTAATCCTGAATTAATGAGCCTGTTACATGATATCTAATAAAAATGACTGCAACAGAGATACTGCTTGGAATCTGCCACATATTTGGTCCAAGGCTGAATCGATTTCATCTATATTTAACACATGCTTGTTTTCTGTCTCACTTGTCTCCCCCACAGCCCATGGCTCAACTCGTTTTTTTTTTTTTTTTCCATCTGGAAAACTTATCTCCTAAAATGCTACCATCAATCAGCCAAAGACACTCTTCCTGACAGAGTGTCTGCCAGTCTGACTAAGCACAAGTAGTCACTAGTTTGGGGATGCCTCCCACACTCTCTGGCACCGTGTGTTTTTCTAGCCTGCCTAACCACACGAGTCCAATTTGGGATATTTATACTTACCTCCAGTTTCTATTGGGATAACAACGTTACTTTGACAGAACTGGGCATAGGGCATGGTGTGTGTGTGTGTGGGGGGACATGGGGTGGCACGGAAGTTGCCTGTGTTGCTTATCTACCCACTTTTAAATTGATTTCTTTGGATGTTTGCATTTCCACCCATTTTTGTCTAAATTGGTTCAGTTCCTGCTCAAAAAAAGTATGAAAATCAAATGCTTACAAAGACGCATAAACTCTGTCTCCCCAAATCTTCCCTGTTCCCATTTCTAACTCCTTCATTGTTAATATCAGTCCCAATACATTCGAGCCTTTACGCTGAAACATGGCATGAAAGAAGGTGCAGAAAAGAAAGCAAAAGTAAGGTTGGCAGTAGAAGCCAAGCACCGGGAGAAGGGAAGGGGGGGGCAGGAGACAGGCGGCCTCCTCCCTCTCCCACAAAGTTCCAGTCGTGAACACACCCACTGGCTGCAGCAAAAAAGCACTGTGCGTGGGCACAGGTGGGTCCCAGCCTCCCTGCCTGGATGCCGCTTAAGCGCTGAGCCTGAATGAAGACTTTCATTGCTGTTTGCTGTTTTTGTTGGCCGGTAGCCATGGCAAACATTTGCAGGTGGCTTGGCCAGATTTTGACACTTAAATATTTGAGGTTGTGATAAAAATCAGAATATTACTACAATATGGTTCTGTGCAGTCTCAAGGAAAAAAAAAAACTATCTGCAATTTCAAATGCTCATTTAAAGACACAGTCTCCAGAGGGAACTCATGTTTTAAAATAAGTACTCATTTCCTCTTTGCTGAGAGAAATAAAAGAGTCAACCATCCCCAAATGTTACCACCTAGAGTTTCATTCTGAATCCACTAGTGAGATGGGTTGGGTTGTTCCTTGCTGAGCCCCCACAGCCATCCGGGCAAGGTTCTGGATGGGTCACATGGAGAAAATGGAAATGACAGGATGTGTGGGTTGGAATCAACATGGTAAGCACGACAGGGAAGGATGTGAAGAAAAGAAACAGCCTCCCTCAAGCCTGGCAATGAGACAGAATCCTAAAAGTGACAATTACCTCCTAGGATGCCCCAGGAGAGCCATGCAACACCCCAGGATGGGGAGTCAATGAGAAGATGGAGCAGGCTGGGAGGTCACATGTACCAGAGAGACACTCCCACCCGCCCAGGCACAGTGACACAGCCTGGAAATGTCACCCAACTGTACAGCCCGGGGCCAGCTGGGTAAATTATTGACAGAGTCAACACCCATCTTAGAATGTCGTGCTAACCCTTAAAAGACTCACAAAAACCAGCATTGTACTAACAATGGCCGAATGCTAGGGGCCTCTAAGAGGGTAGCTGGGGTAGGGGCATCGGGGGAGGCAGAACTCCAGGGGGGAAGGAATGTTATAAAACTGCTAGTAAACTCCAACACATTTTATGTTTTTTCCCCTTGAAAGAAAAATAAAATAATTATAATTAGCTGGCCTAACTGAATTGTCTGCCCAAAGCCAAACCACTAGAGTGAAGGAGTCCCTTGAGATTTTGGATGCCATCTTTAAAGAACCCACTCCACCCTCTTGGTATATTATAGGTTCTTGCTTTAGATGGTGGCAATATTTGCTCCCACAGTCATTTGAAAAGAAAAGAAATATTTAACAGGGATACCAGCTAATTTAGCATTGGCTTCTTCCAACAAAGCCAAGCATTCAAAGGGCCGATTACTATTCCTTTTGGGAAACCAGATGTACCCATGACAAACTCACAAAACCATCACAGCCCACAGGCCACAGCTCTCATTTGTTGAGCTGGCTCTTCACAAATCACAACCCATCTGATAAGTTGAGATATGTAGGAGACAAGGTACCCCTTCTAAAGCATCCTAAGGAGGAATAAACTGGTGTTGTTCCCCATGCTCCCTCTTGACCTGAAATTCCAACAAACATTTAAAACAAAGGGGAAAGCACCTGGCTGGTTCAGTCCATGGAAGATGTTACACTGGATCTTGGGGTGTTAAGTTTGAGCCCCATATTGGGTGTAGAGATTACTTAATAGTAAAATCTTTAAAAAACAAAGGGGTGGGGGCAAGACACATTGGCAAATTGCAGGTCAACTGTTTTTTTAATCACCATATAGACTATCCAGCTGAATGTTCACACTAAATTCTGATGCATGTACCAAATACAGCAAGCCCCTTTCCTATTTTAAACAGAGAACTGTGGAAATGTACAGCAAGCAGTTCTCAGCTTCTAACAATATAAATTTATCAGAGCTCTTTGGTTTACATTACTACCTTTTCTTCCTAAGAACTTGACTACTCTTAAATCTTTTATTTCCTCTTCACTCTACTCCTGCAAGCGTGGAAAGAAGACACATATCGTCATCTTGAAGATACGGAAGCAGGCCAGAGACTGTGTATTTCTGAGAAGCTGGCGGGTAATGCCCAGGCTCCTGGTCCTCAGACCAAACTCCAAGTAGGCAGGGGCTAGAGCTGTCATGTGAGACTCAGAAGTGAAAATACTTTCCATCCCATAAACAGAGTGTCTGGGATTCTGATGACACTGACTTTTCTACCAATTTTTCTCAATACCGCATGCAGTACTGTCTTTTCTACATAAGCGAGGGGGAGAGGGCTTGCGTTTTTAGCTTTGTTTACTCCAGGAATGAACCTGGACCAATACAGAAGAATGAGAGTGCTAATAAAGAGGTATTAACAAGGAAAAGAAGCAAAGAAGAATCATCAGAGGGAAGGAGGACTGGAAATACATGGAGGACACGGGTTGGGCTCAGCAGATCCTAGGAAAAAAGGGACACACTCTGTTGGGGAGGAAGGTGGGCTGGTGAAACCTCCCTCTACCAACCTCAAGCGTTTGTACTGAAAGCATGCTCTGCCCTCTGTAACACCTAAGGGTTTTCCACTGTCATCTTGAAGTTCATAAATCTTGTCTGAAGAAACAATGACACCAAATTATTTGCTTTGCCCTGCAAGGTCCAGGATCAAAAGTTTCCACCAAATGGAGACCCCCCCCCTTCTCCCATTAAAAGCTCGGCTCTAAGGGCCAGGTGATATCACACCAACCAGAAACACCAACTTCTGTCTCATCTAATCTGAGCACCAGACACAAGGAGAAAGTCCAGAACATTCTCTGAGCTCCAGCCAGGACCCAGAGACAACAGAGGAAGTCTCCTTACCCGATCTGGCGGTTGGTGGAAGGTGCCTGTGTGATGACAGAGCTGGACTGGGGCGACGGCATGGCTTGCTGAATCACAACGCTGGTGTCATGGTTGGGCATCCGGGTGCTGCCAAGCTGGTGAGCTCCGGGCCCCGCCATGGCCCCACCAACTGTGTTATGCATCGAAATATTCTGCCCAGAGAAGACAGAGGGGAAGGTCAGAAGAAGTCAATGTTGTATTCTACTCTCAAACTCTCAGAGGACAAAATTGGGAATCTGGTCTTGTCAACTAAATAAAGAGTTATGGCTTCTGGCAAGCCATGGGTCTATCCATCTTGTTATAACTTAACAGCTAGGAGCAGATGAAAAATAACTATTTACCCTAAGAGTAACACACATGAGAAAATACCCTGAGATTCACTAATCACTCTGCCGCCTTCCTGATGTAAGGTTTCTATCAGGGACATTTGATGCATATCTTCTCTGACTCGGTGTGATATACACTGCATTTGAAAATGATTCCGTGGTGAATGCACAGCACTATGATTTACTGAAGAGCCGCTCGGCATCCTGCTTTGAATGACATGCACACTAGGTTATTGTTTCTTCTTCAGTCCTATGAGACTAGCCAACCACCTACTTTTTTTTCCCCAGGAAACTACTACCTTTCCAAATCATAATCTAGGTACTCATGACCCAAGCTCAACAACCTGGAGAGTGAGGATGGATGACTGGAATAGATGACAGGGTGTCTGGAATCCAACGCCAAGAGTCGAAGTTGCAACTTTCTGCTGTACTTCCATAAAATCAATCTCTAACAGTTTTTATGGAATAACGGAATATAGAACAATGACTGCTTGTTCATTTACTTTTTCACTGTCTTTTCCTCTAGAATGAAGAATGTTTGTGTTCATAACTCTCTCTCATGGTACTTGGAACATTGTAGCCACTCAGGTAAACATACATCGCATGAATAAACCAGTGAAGGCAAAAGGCGACATGTGAGTCACTTAAGGGAACTAATAGCATGTGCTTATTTCTGATGATTTCTGATGAATGAAGGTTTCTTTGTTTAAAATTCAAAATTAAGGTAAAACATGCAAGGCAAAGCTGTCTCAAGAGACAGTTCTTAAAAAAAAAAAGTCACTGGGACAAAGTAAGAGGACTCACACCTGGGCAAAAGTCTTACCAATGTGGTGGAGCTAAAAGGTGAGAACTTCAGAGTTTAGAAAAGAAAGGGAAAGTGCAGGAAAGTAAGTCAGTGGGCCTCTGTAAACAGCTAGGCACAGCTTTTCAGCCTAGAAGGGTAGTGAAATTCGAGAGGTCAGTTGGACAACGGGTTGAGGATGGCAGAAAAGAAATGGTGTGTCACTAGCAATTTACTGGAGGAAAAATATATATCTGTCTGCGCTTTGGGGTTAGCAAAGAAAAAAATAAATGTTACCCAGGAGAACCAGAGTGGTCCTTTGAAGTTCTTCTGCAAAGAACAGGATTTCCTGCACTATGTGTTAAATGATGGTGATAACATATATGGTATTTGGGGTGGTTGTGTCCATCACATTGCACCTTTCCCAGATTTCTGATTTCTAAATCCTGACCACACAGTTTGTCAGCGGTCCAGATGGAAACTGGGCACCTGGCTTAGACTGTGAGCCGACTGTGTTATCGCGGGATCCCAAAGGCATGAACAGTCTTCTATATACACGCGTGGTCCAAAGGCTCCTCTTTTACACTGGAAGGTTTTTCTGACATGGGAAAATATTGTGGTTGATTAAAGCAAGATGAAAGTAAATGGTGATTTGTGTTGGAGTAGCAGTGCAGAGGTATGCTTGAGTTTTTTTTATAGGATCTAGAGACGTAGAGAAATGAACTGAAATAATAATGAAAATAAAGATAATTGGGTTACTTCTTGTAAAAGTGGACCTTAACAAATATATTTCCTAGTCTTAATGAGGTCTTGATGAAGTCAACAATTAAACATAGTTTTTTCCTCCCTTGTTGGTATCCTCAGAGAGACCCACAATTTTTCTTCTTGCTCACAGTCACCTACTCTGTCAATAATCAGAGGCACAGAAAGATTTCTGGCTCTCTTTTCAGAATTATTTCTATTGTGCTGTACTATCAAAGATTATGAGTGGAGCTGCACAGTATAAAATTCTAACTAATAATCTTTAAATTGCCAAAGAAGAATATAAAATGTATGAACCTTCCTTGGGTTACCCTTGACACGACTTTCCTATCACCCCCATATGCGGTCCCCAAGTACTGCATAGTCAACCTATGCATCTTTCGTCTATTTCTATCCTTCCATCTCTCCTCCTGCCAACCTACACCCAACCACCTTCTTCTCCTTTCTTAGACTAGACAGTGGCCTTCTAACTGGTCTGTCACTCACTTTGCCTTACCTTTCTCCTTTTGCCCATATACAGTCACAGTGATCGTTTTTTAAGTTTGTTTGTTTGTTTGTTTGTTTATAGCATGCGTGTGCAAGTGGAGGGAGGAGAGAAAGAATCCCAAGCAAGCCATGCACTGTGAGCATAGAGGCAGACTACAGGAGGGTACACACGATGCAGGCCTAGATTTCCCGAGCTGTGAGATCATGACCTGAGCTGAAATCAAGAGTCAGAGGCTTAACCAACTGAGCCACCCAGGCACCAGGCATGGTGATCTTTTCACAAAAACAACACTGATCACGGCACACAATTCTCTCTACCCAACTGCACTGCCCCACCTCCAACCACCACTCCACAAGCTTCTTAGATGGCTTCCATGGTTCAAAAGACATTGACAGCACTTTCTGTCATCTCCAAAGCCTGTAGGTGACCCTTCCTGCCTCCCAGCTCATCTCACACTACTTTCACTCTTGCTTTCTGTTCTTCACTCCACCTACTGGCATGTTCCTGTCCTCATACTGCCCATGCTCCATTTCAGCACAGGGCCTTGGGATGTTATTTTCTGCTACCTGTGCCCTTCCCCTGACTCCACCTTCAAATCCCAGATTAAGCATCATGTGAGGAAGACTTCTCTGACCTCTTCTCTCCTCCTCTCCTCTTCTTTGGAGTGCTTTTTACAAGCTCATAATTGCTTTATTTGATTAAAATATTTCTTCCTTGAGGACATAAGTGCAATGTGAGAAGAGACTAAATCTGACTTTACTCCCCATTAACTCTAGATCAATGCCTGGAATATAATAAGTGCTCAATAAACACTGAATGAGTGAGTGAATATAAAATGACGTTCCTAAAATATTCAGTATGAGGAAGTCTTTTATTCCCTGGCCAGTTTTTGAGAGTGCTAACTTTTTGTCCATTTACCTTAAGATCTCAGAACATGCTTTCTGGTAGTAGCATTTTAGATATTAAGGTACTTGTTCAATCATGGACTAGAGAAATAGAAAAGACCAGCATTAAGAAGAAATCCATAAACATGGGATGTACAAGAAAGAAAGCTTTTCATAAAATATTAAATGAGCTCTTGAAGGAAGATGCCAAAAGGTGAGTTCTGAATCTTTGAGCACTTTGGCTCAAAGGATGGTAACAACCATTCTTTATCTCCACGATTAAAACTAGGAAAATCTGATCTGTGCTGCAGCACAAAGAAAATGGTATATTCAGAAGGGAACATGTTAAATGAAAGAAAGAACTACTTCTTTAATGAGAATCATTAAAAAGAATTTTAAGGGACACCTGGGTGGCTCAGTCAGTTGAGCATCCAACTTCAGCTCAGGTCATGATCTCATGGTTTGTGAATCCGAGCCCTGCTGAGCATCCAACTTCAGCTCAGGTCATGATCTCATGGTTTGTGAATCCGAGCCCTGCATCAGGCTCCCTGCTGTCAGCGTGAGGCCTGCTTCAGATCCTCTGTTCCCCTCTCTCTCTGCCCCTTCCCCACACTCTCTGTCTTTCTCAAAAAATAAAGATAAATAATTAAAAATAAAGAATTTTTAAAACTATCCAGGAATATAGCTCACCTTCTCCCACCAACATTTAAAACATCTCTTTGTCTCTGTGACCCCAACAAGAGATGGAAAAGGCTCCCAAGAGTTATAGTCTAATTCTTCAATAATCTCCGTTCTCCACCACACATGAAATCTGCAAATTCTCCACACTCCTTCCCCCAGATCCTGAGAGTAATTTCAAAATGTTTTGGAAAAATAAACAATTAGGCAAGCATTATCATTTCACATTAAGAGATGATTTTTTTTCCCTTTAAGCATTACATAGTAAGTCAAACATGAAATTATTTTCTGAGTTCACATTTTCCCAATTATGGGTTCAAAACCTGTCTTCATTGATAAAAGAATGGCATTTTACCTCTGGATAAATTAAATATCCAATTTCAAAAACACGGGTGACTACATCTTGCTGAGTTACTTTCACTAGTATAGGCGCATAGATTTGGAGCTTGGAAACAGTGTCACCAAACCAGTGGATGGGTGTCAATATGCATGGAACAATCAGAGGTGTTCCTCGAGGCTCAGCCTTTGGCCTTTTCTTGTTCAACATTTTTATCAACAGCTTGGATGAAGATGTAAAAATTGTGCTTGTCAAATCTGCAGTTGACACAGTGGTGGGAGGCATAGCTTATGTTCTGGGTAGTAGAATCAGGTTTTACTTGAGCCAACTGTGTGATCTGGCCTCCAAAAATGCTAACATAAATCTAGGTTGCTGTAGAAGAAGTGCAATGTCCAGATCAAGGGAAGTAATTACTCTGCTGTTGAGCACGCTGAACTGACCACATTTGGCCACCACATTTTAAGGGGGAAATTGACAAATAGGAGGGAATGAAAGCAATGAAGGCATCCAAAATGCATCACAGGAAGAACTATAGAAGAATCAGGGGATATTTAGTCTGAAGAAGAAAAGATTTAGAGGGTCATGCTAACTGCCTTCAAATATTTGTGGGATTAGATACAGTCTATATTACTCCAGAGGGCATATTTAAAACAAAAAGGGATCTGTTGATAAAAGCCAATGATGACTACAATTTGAGTTCTTATTTTGAAACAAACACTACGCTAGATGCTTTATAAACTGCACTTCTAACCCTCACAATGATACTACAGGGTCAGCATTATTGTCCTCACTTTAAAATGATAAAAAGAGGGGCACCTGGGTGGCTCAGTCAGTTAAGCATCTGACTTCAGCTTGGGTCATGATCTCACAGTTCATGAGTTTGAGCCCTGCATCGGG